ACCTGGCAAGGTGCCAACTACACCTTTATTTTCAAGGTGGCCTGAACAGAGTGTTTTAGGGCAGCAAACCCTGGTCTCAGGCCACCTTGAATTTAGCTTGAAAGCCACAGCTTTGAAGCCTCATGCGCGCCATACCCGGGAACAGAACTGTAGCTACTTGTAGCTACCCTGGGTCCGTATAAATACTATGTTGCTATACCTCTTACACACCTATACAAGTTCAAAGCACGAATGAGACTTCAAAGCTGTGGATTGCTGTGCGTGTTCAGACCCCCTAACTACTCACTTCGTTCGCCAGACACAACTCCGCTAGCGCCAGCGCCTTCTACGAAGGCTGGCTTTCGTAATGAATAGGCTAGGTGTAAAGGATCTATATACAGTAGTTGCTATCCCTTTTTGGGGGATGAGAACTCAAAGGGTGGGAGATGTTTGTCGTTGGTCCCACTCTGATTGCAAGGAAATACGTTGGCTCATAAGACCAATATCTAACAGGGGCCGTGAAATACGGCTATTAGGTTGGAGGCCATTGCTTCCAACAAAATTTCTACAGGAAGACCACGCCCCTGTTAAATGAACGGGTATATTTTGTAGAGAGAACATCTTTCGGCAAATCGACTGGTATTTGCACTGAACTCGAATCTGTGGTGAACCCTTCCTTCACCGAAAACCAAAAAAAGAACTCTTCGCGATGCAAACCTGGCCAATCCTGACCGTCTCAAACGACCCTCGCCCGTTTCAAAGGTCACCAATATCTGAAGCGACCGCTCGCGAAAGCCACTTTTACCAACCATGCATGACTGTTGATCAATAACCCCCCATAGGGAACAGGTTCTACAATCCAAATGATATATTGATATAGTATGAATCAACAGTCTACATCCAGGGTGGCTGACAAACCCACACCCTTTCAATCACTCAGCGAAAGCAAGCCCTCTCTTCTCTGCCCCCTGGCCCACGTCCATGATGTCGCGCAGACTCACTGTCCGCTCTGCGACCTCGAACGCGCTGCGACTGTCGCGACGGAGCGACCAAGCGCCTTTTCTAGGAAGCGAGAAGCAGAAGCTATGAGAAGCTATAAGTGTTTGTTTCATATGCATTAACAAAAATATGTGCAGTGGCACGTCCGTGCGGCAACTTTCCACTTTGTTTATGATGAGTCAGAATGTAACCTGAAAGAGAAGTTGCTGAGATTGCTGCTGTTCACAAGTCTTCATGTTGCCGTTCACAAACGACCAGGCTGTCCATGAACGAACACCGGCAAGACAAAAGATGATTGGTGATTATTTAGTAAGGCTGCAGGCTTGACTATGGAAACTATGCACACATGGCAAGGACGTGGCAAATCTCACTTAGCTTTCTGCAGGGTGTCAATGCCGGCCTATGCCGAGTCCTCGTAATCAGGATTGCTTCCAATCGAAAATTGAGGGACTGCAACCAACCCTGAAGAGGTACTCATGCAGTGTATGAGTTCAGGACATCTTGTATCCCTTACATATTGGGATCCCGGTGCGTTGGCAGTTTTCAGTGGACATGACAGTTCCATGCATAGGAACCCCTTCCAGCCGCTGGGGAGGTCCAAAGCATTTGTCGATTAACCATGAAGCGTGGGCCATTGCAACACCAACACCAAAAATGCGATCTATTGCTAGACGAGGAAAGGAGTCCTTCTGTCCCCATGTGTGGAAACCCATGATCCACTTTTCGCTACACTACCTGCCAAACTAGAACATGTTGATTAGTTGGCTTTTCTCGTCTGCTCCTGCATCAAAAGGTTTCGCCGTCCCTGCTCTATTGTTGCCCTCAACACCCGAGTCAAGCTCCACATGGGTTCTGAACCGTATTTATAAACATATGCAGAACGAGTGGAGCAAGCTGCTTCGTCCGTTTGCCAAGCTCCATGTGGGTCGGAACCCGCGAAGAAGTGGGGTGGTTCACCCACCCATGACCTGATAAGACCGGTCGGTCTGACTTTCTCCGAACATACAGCGCCAATGCTTGTTCCACCTGGTCATTTTCAGTGGGAAACCCAATCCCCACAAAAGGTGTTTTTTCGGTGACCCACGTGTCCGACGCGCTTCCTGCGTGGTCGAAATGTCGCGACCACAGCCCTGGTGCGGAGCACAGCCCGAGCCCCTCGCCTGCTCCCAGAAAGCAAAGTCCTGTGATGAGAACAGTGGGAGGCTCTGACACGAACCAACACAAAAGTTATCCCTTGGGTCTATCCCACTACTAGTAACTACCAGTGGATGATGATGGTAAAGTCCCTTGGCTAAAATAGTGATAGTTGTTTGCCGACTGTTGAAGGTGGGACAGACCCTAAGTCTCCTACTTCGCTCATTGGCAAAGCCTATCGTTTGCTTTCAGCTCCACTGAGGGTCGGTGGAAGTCCATTACAACGTGTTCCTACACAGGGCCACACTGCTGTGGTAAAATGGTTTCCTGGCAGATTGCAAAACAAAACAGAAACAGAACTTGACATAGTTCTACTAGGGGTCTCCTGGCCTCACCACCAGCAACCAGCGACTAGGATGACTAGGGACGTTTGGGGTCTCCTGGCCTTCCTACAAATCCCAAACATTCCATGAGAAGTAACAAGAAGCTATTAGTAACAAGTGCATCGCTAGTAGTAACAGGTGCCTTACTAGTAGTAACAAGAAGCGACCTTCCATATTTACCAACTTCCCATGGGTCGGGTCTCGGCCATCAGAGGTTCGACATGGTGGTTGGTGGTTTAGCTACCCCAAGGACATGGTGGTTTAGTAGTGGACCCCCATCTATCTAAGACATCTGCCAGGGTGCCAGTGCCATCGAACCACTGAAACCATTGTATGTTTCAAAGTCGGAGTAGCCGACTTTGGCACCCCGTCTGCACCTGCACTGAGGCTGCACCATCTACCACCTGCTGGGTCGTTTACTGGCACGAAGAAATTGAGGATGTCAAAAGGCAAGCATTGAAAAAAATTAGATGTCCTGAAACACAAAGCTCATGCTAGGAGCACTTTCTGCGCTTTTGCTTTGCAACATCTGCGTATGAAGGCTGATATTGCGGTACAAAGTCAGGAGGATCTTGCTTTGCAACATCTGCGTATGAAGGCTGATATTGCGGTACAAAGTCAGGAGGATCTGCCCAAGCCTTCATCGGCATCGCTGAAAGGCTGAGGTGCATGGCCCGCTTGGTCAAAGCCTCCTTGTCAGGTGGGTGCCTCCCTCAGATTCAGATCCTCAGATCAAGTGACTGCGAGGGCAAGGCTCATCGCCATCTCATGTCGACAAGCAGTGAAGAGCTGCTTCAACGAACCGCATGAAGAGCTGCCAGTATCTGTTGTACTCCTGAAAATGATCCATCAAACATCCGGCATTGCAACTCGCCTGGAAGTGAGCATTGCTTTCGGCAGGATCGCCTTTCTTGCGCAAACTCAGATTGCACGCGCGCTGCCTGCTTCATGCAGCACTCAGATTCGCTATTGTCCCTAAGTGGCACCTACCAACGCAGCAATTGATACAGTGGTGTCCACTCCACTAATCCGAACTTGCAAAGGAGCAGCCGAGAATCTCGATTTTCAGACTCACGTCGACAGGATCAGTCGTGTTGCTTGCATCACTTTCACTCGAAACTTCCAAGTGCTCATCTTTCTCTGGTCATTTTGAATACGAGAACTACTCAACTACTCCCCCAAAACAAGATGATTTGCGGGTGAACCCCTTTTTTTTGTCTTCGATGGGTCCAATCTTCCACACATCCTCTCAGAATACCCCTCCTCAGGCTAGGACCGAGCAACCCCACTCCACCTCCCCCCAAATGAACACCCACATCCTGCCAACCTCTCCCATCGCCGAATCCGCAAAGCAGCTCCTGTCCTCCACTCGTTCCACCTGGGCCTTCTGTGCCGCCTCCACCAGCGCCCGCGCGCCCAGCAGCCCCGGCACCGGCTGCGCGGCGCTCGCCTCCGCCGCAGCGCCGGCGTCGGCAGTGCCGCGGGCGCTGGGCGGGCTGACGCGGCCCAAGGGCTGAGGAAAGGTCCTGGGCCGTTGGCGATAGAGCTTGGTGAGTGAGACATCTTATACCCTCCGTGAATCATCCAAAATACATCTCTTCAGAACTCTTGGCTCAAGTCCCACTGTTTTTGGGCAATCCTACAAGGAAACTTCCACTTCTAATTTGAGCCACGAGTCTTGAAAGGAGTTTTGTGCTGGAGATTATCCCCTTGCTCTGCTGGAGAGCTGTGCTCAATCGGCATTCACCTGCTAACAAAGCAAGATTTGCTCTACTCTACTGATTCACTGATGGGGAAGTCATAGATTGTTTGAATCCCAATTGAATGCCTTCTAACTGGGGATATTGAAACAGTGAACTGTAGAGCAATGCTTTTACCCCTTTGGAAATCATGTAGACTTTACTCCAAAAGCAAACTTAACGGGGCCATTGAATAAATACTGCACTCTCTAACTGGGGACTCTCCACTTAAAGGGTCAAAGGATTCAAGTCTGCTAGGCAATCGGCTGGAGAGAGAGAGAGAGAGAGAACAAATCCTATGCGTTCAGGCAAATGTAGCAATGATCTGCAATTTGCCTTGATAACTCCGAATAACATAATAAATTCACGATCCAAATCCAAATGGATGTGTCTCAGAACCTCTTACTCCTGAATTTTGCCGAATTCCTAGCATCATGATCAGCGTTGATAAGTGCAGCATGTATATATATATATACTGTCATGTATATATGTGTGTGTATCCTCGTATCCTCCAGTAGGTTAAACATAGCTTTAGCAAAATCCAGCTGTATGTCAATTTAAGAAACATGTATCTCATGATTCTGATCTGGGGAGTCTGTATAGTTTGAGTTTGCCAATTGAGAGGCTTCACAAGGTAGCATCTCGAGGATGTTCATGAAACACCTCTCTAGCAGTTTGTCTTGTCACAAACATTGCAGCCAAAACAACCTTAAGCACTTGCATATTTGAACATCTGAAAAGCCAAGAACGGATATGCCCTCGCCCTCCCATGTATTTCTGGTGCCAATCTTAACCAATCTGTTGGACCCGGGGTGCGTTCCCCAATCAAAAACCTCCAAATCTTAACTACGTCCTAGCAGTCTTCATGCTCAAGGGAGTCTCCAAAATCATATTTTCGATTGTTGAAGGACATCTCTGTAACAAAATGCATTGGGATAGTCGAAACTCAATACGGTTTTCATTTTCTCTATATACTTTGGGTCCATCCTATTACCAGTAAGTATCAGTGGATGATGATGGTTTAGGTTGCAGGCCTTGTTCAAAAAAACACTATTTGATTTTATTGATGATCATTGTTTACGGGTCCTGTTACAGGTAGGTTCCGACAGACCCAAGTCAGACCGCTCATATACCACTCATAGACAGTCACGAGATAGTCATAGACCGCTCATCATGGAGCAATCCTCAGATACCACTTCTGATTCCGCCCAGTGCCAAAGCTTCCGCCCGCGAGCTAACGCGTCCAAGGCACCAAACACCGAACTTGCCGTACTTCCGTGCACGAGTGCCATGGAGCTTGTGGTGCTGAAACTTGTAGGGGTTCTTCTCCCAAGGATTGATGTAGTACTTGGGCACCACCTTGTCGCGGTCTGAACGTCTGAACGTTAGGTGCTTAGGGTCCAACAGAGCAATCTTCCGAGCGATCATGCTTCTGCTCGCTTATTAAGGAGAGCCTGGTGATCATTGCATGTTGCGCTTAAGGAGACCAATGCAACACTTCAATGTTCAGGTTGAGGGTTCAAGTAAACTTTGGAGCACATCTTCTGGCGAAGAGAGTCAGGGAAATACACCCTGCGGCGCACTGTCACAGCGGTATCCCAAAGCCAAGAAACCCATTCATCTCGTGATGCCAAACCCGTACACTGACACCCAACTTGAGCCAAGCCACACGAGAGAATGCGTGCAAGTGTGTGGAGAACTTCAAGGGCGAGGCCAAATAGACCTTAAAGTTTGGCGTAGCTTGGCGACGAACAAAAACGGTTGAAGAAGACTCTTAGAATGAATGACTCGAGCCCTGAAGTGGCCTTGTCTCCTGGGAGTTGACCGGACTGATCAATGGGATCGAGCGAGTACGACAGCTGGTTCGAATGGAAGAATAATCGCAAGAATGGACAACCTCTTGCAGGTCTATCCAGGACAACTTGCCACTGAAGTCTTGTTTTAATGCAACATGTCATCTTCCATGGAGAGGAGGGGCTCACTGTTTCCCTTTCTTGATTGCAGGTTAATGTTTAGTTTCTCCAAAAAGGTCAAAGGTTAAGCACTGACTGAGTAGAGTCATACTCACCACTGAATAGTACTCCGAATGTTCCATTCTAATCCAAACAGTCTGATGCTTCGTTCGAAACAATTCTAGGAGGTGTCTGGGATGATTCAAAAAATGGGCAACGACTTCTGGACATTGATATCCTGTCAAATATATCTTACTCTATGGTAGAAAACAAAAACAAGTCAAAGGCATTCAAAGGCTGTGCACGACAGCATTTTATGACAAAACTAGCTGTCAACCCTCATCAACCCTCTCTCACATGTATAAGATTGTATAAGCATGTATGTCTTCAAGATGGGGGTTGTGGATGGTTGTTTTCAGGAGTCCCCATCCAAAGTTTCATCAAGTGGTTAGAATTGTGTGTTTCCCCACATCACTATGTGGGGTTGTTGTTTTTCGCTCTGCACCGGCCGCTCGTCCGCCCTCCTTCGCGTCCGCGTCCGCCCTCCGCCCCGTCTGACAACACAAGACTCATCACATCCAACTTATCTTACACAACTCATCACACACAACTCATCACACCCCACTCATCGCATCCCACTCATCTTACACAACTCATCTTACACAACTTATCACACACAACTCATCACATCCACTCATCTTACACCGCTCATCACATCCCCCTCTTCTTACACAACTCATCACATCCACTCATCTCACACAAACTCATCTTACACAGCTCATCGCGCCCCACTCATCACATCCCACTCATCTTACACAACTCACAACACCCCACTCATCACATCCCACTCATCTTACACAACTCATCAAACACAACTCATCACATCCACTCATCTTACACCACCCATCACATCCCACACTTCTCACACAACTCATCACCACAACTCATCACATCCCATCACATCCACTCATCTTACACCAATCATCACATCCCACTCATCTCATACAACTCATCACCACAACTCATCACGTTCCACTCATCACATCCAACTCGTCTCATCTCATCACATCCCACTCATCACATCCCACTCAACTTACACAACTCCTCACACAGGCACAGCACTTGGTGAGCCTGGAGTGCAGATTTCGTGGCAGGCGCAGTACACAGAGCCTTCAGGAGGAGCTGCGGAACGCGTGGTCGCCGCTGGGCTGCGGCTACCTTTCATGTGGCAGGCACAGCACTTGGTGAACCTAGACTTCGTGGCAGGCGCAGTACGCAGAGCCTTCAGGAGGAGCTGCGGAACAGGCACAGCACTTGGTGAACCTGGAGTGCAGATTTCGTGGCAGGCGCAGTGCACAGAGCTGTCAGGAGGAGCTGCGGAACGCGTGGTCCGCTGGGCCGCGGCTGCCTTTCGTGTGGCAGGCGCACCCACTCATCACACACAACGCATCACACACCACTCGTCACACACCACCACTCATCACACACCACTCATCACACACCACCACTCATCTTACACCACTCATATTACACCACTCATCACACACCACGCATCTGACACCGCTGATCACACACCACTCATCACACACCACTCATCACACACCACTCATCTCACACCACTCATCTCACACCGCTCATCACACACCACTCATCACACACCACTCATCTTACACCACTCATCACACACCACTCATCACA